GCAGGAATGTACTCCTATGGGATGTAGGGTGATACGTATGAAAGTATCCCATGACCTCAATGAGGGCATGAAACAATGCCAGCTCTGGTTTGAAAATCATTGCTACATTAGGATCGCTGAAATCAAGCTGAATCTGTTTTTTCTGTTTTTGCCTTCAAGTACAACTCTGGATGGGGGAGGGGTGGGGGCACAATGGTAAGAGCAAGTGTATGCTTACAGATAAGCAAACAGGGCACACCCATCTAAGGAACTACGTAAGCTAGGACCCATGACGTACCCAAGGGCCCAGTTTCTTCCATCTGGGTACAAAAACAAAACTACACCTCATGTATAAAAAAGAGTGTACATAAAATCTCTATTTCTGGAGAAGCATAGTGCCATGACGTGAAACTGCAAATGTGATCATGGACCACGAAGGCAAGCCACTCATGTTGAGAAAGGAATCTCCTGTACAGCTTACATGTGCATGTACCCTTGCTGTGGTCTCTGCTAACTACTACTTGAGGATAAACCCTTGACCTTATGGCCTTTGGTCAGAGCCCCTTCCAATTAGTCTCCGATTCCTATAAATGACCCTCACTAGAACCTAACTAATTACCTCCACGTACCTTATAAAGAGTTTTCATGAGGCCTGTCTTCATCAGCTCGAGATTGCCAAATATCCCGCTATTTGAACTATACCGATCGCAAATTATCCAGTTAATTTGCGACTTCATCAGCTCGAAAATGAAATTATTGGGATATTTGGCGAGATAATCATCCCAAGATATCTTGGGTTAGATTGCAAAATATGCCACTATTTGTCCGGTGTGTGTCTCCACCAGACCGAAGACTCGCACTATGTGCTACACTGAGCAAAACATCTCGAGCTAATTTCTCAAGCTCAAGTTTCAAGTTTCGAGGTCGAGTCTCGAGCTGATGAAGACGCAATTTGTAACTTCAGGATTATTTCCCAAATCAGAAATAGTGGGCTATTTGGCAATCTCGAGCTGATGACGACAGGCCTATGTAGATCTTTACCTGCGCCTCCAGTCTGTCCTGTTAGCTGATCTTTTAGAATCAGTCAAGACCATTGACATTGGCCTTCCATTCCTATAACTTACCCAACTTCTACCAAACATGTTAATGTACCTCAAGGTTCCTAACAACGCTTTTCCTGTAGAGCTTACCTGTGCCTGGCTATGGTCTCTGAAGATAGCTTATCCATGAGAAGCTGGACTTGGGGGCAGGGCCAGTTCAGTTAGTCTCCTATTCCATCATGTGACCCTAGCTCTAAAGCCTAACCTCGTAACGAACGACATGCACCTTCAAAGAATTCCTGTATATCTTACCTGTGCCTCTAGCCTGGCTGTGGTTTCTGCAGCTAGCTGATCCTTGAGGAGCTGCACCTGGGCCAGGGCCACTTGGGTCTGGGCCTCTTGTTGCTGTAGTTGCTGCTGAAGAAGCTGCCTTTGATGATACAGACTGAGAGAGGGAATGCCAGACTCATCATGGGCCAGGATGGATGTGTTTTGTTGGACAGCCTGCAAACAAAATATTACAAAACATCAGCAATTTATTACCAGATAACTAATCATCTGAAGCAGAATTAGGATTAATAGGCAGTTCTTTTTTTAAGATCAGAGTGACTCATTCATTCACACCAGGGCCATGTAACACAAAGATAAATTAGCAATTGACTGCTATTTTGCAACTGACCAAGATGTAATATCAACTGATCGTATGATCGATCAATCGATTATATAATAAATGGTTAGGCCTTGTGTTACAGGGACCTGATCTAAGTCACAGACTTCTGAAAAAAAAGACATTAGAGATAGAGAGAGATAGAGATATTGGAACACTGAAACATTAATCAGATTTAAACTCAATAGGGATGATTCAAACAAAAAGACAGCTGGATTCCAGCAAAGGCATGGGAAATGCAACCACAAACCTGTCCCTCTTTGCAATAGGTATAGCCTTCGGAGATTCTTTAAAATTACCTTCCTTCCTCCCTTTACTTGAAGCTGATTCATGTAGATGACATCCACGCTCTCCAAGAGTGGCCCACTCACGTCAAACTTTCTTTTGGCTTCTCCTACGTTCCACTTGGATTTAACCCAAGAGTACCTAGCCATTCCATTGAATTTGGAATCCATTTTTGGCTTGACTGGTCTACAGATATCTGTCATGGTGTGGTCTTCAAGGGACCTATCAACAAGTCCTCTGACAATGGGTGCAGAATGTGACGATCCCATTCACATTGTCCAAGGTTCTAGAGGTCTGTTTAAGGTGTGGTCTTCCAAAAAAACCTATCAACAAGTCCTCTGACAATGGATGCAGAATGCTACCAATTTGAAAATGATCCAATTCACATTGTCCAAGGTTGTAGAGATCTGTTAAGGTGTGGTCTTCAAGGGACCTATCAACAAGTCCTCTGACAATGGGTGCAGAATGATACCGATTAGGTGATGATCCAATTCACATTGCCCAAGGTTGTAGAGATCTGTGTGGTCTTCGAGAAACTCATCAACAAGTCCTATGACAATGGGTGCAGAATGATACCGATTAGGTGATGATCCAATTCACATTGCCCAAGGTTGTAGAGATCTGTGTGGTCTTCAAGAAACCTATCAACAAGTCCTCTCACAATGAGTGCAGAATGCTACCAATTCAATGATGATCCAATTCACATTGGCCTAGTATGTAGAGACTTGTGAAGGTGTCGTCTTATCAAAAGGACCCAGTCAACGTGTCCACAATACTACCCTTTTCTATTATGATGAGGGTCTATTTCAAAAGAAAGTGTACAAAGTACCTCCCTTCCTAGGTCATCCATCCACACTGCTGCAATATGATACATTAGACTATATGGGCGCAAGGTATATTAATATGGACCTTGTGGCAGATTAGCCATGTGCTAAACAAGTTATCCAATAAAGTCTACTACTACTACTACTACAGCTATATACTGAAATTATGCCACTTGGATAAAATGATGCACTTTCGCAGTATGAATCCCCTCCTCGGGTGTCTATACCCTCCTATCGGTACCTGAATGAGAACTGGTAGGTGTTGGCATCTCCAGAGGCAAGGGAGACTGGTTCATTTTAAGAACCAACTGTTAGAAGCTTTCATTACGGCGCCATTGCTCCTAGCATTGATCTCTCCTGATTCTCCAGGGTAAAAATTCTTAAAATCCAAGGACCCTCGAGGACCAAGTCCCCCTTCAGAAAATAGAGCACGTTCTCAGACAAGATCACAAGTCATCGGCAAACCAGGCAACATAGTCGTGACACATGGTGCTGACTCATAACAAGACGACAGTCCCATGTTCAAGCCGTCTCAAGAAATTAATCACCATCTTGGTATATCCTCAGCCCAGTTCTATTAACCCTTTGTATTCTGAGATGTGAATGCCTAGACAGCCATATTTGGAGTGTATCCTCCATAGACATTGTATGCGACAAAGTTCGCTCGCTGTTAGATGTTCCATACATTGACAAAAGCAGAGAGTTAACTTCTCTTAATTCTAAGGAAGTAGAAGATACCAAGTTCACTTTGGAGTATATTGTCTTTGGATAGTAGGAAAGGAAGTAGAAAATAATATCTTGGGGTAAGCATTTACGTGTAAGATCTCTGTGGCTTGGGAATGTAAAAAGGAAGTACACATAAGTATTTTAAGTGTGAGCATGCATTTAGGATTGAGCGACTTGAGCTAACCTAGCTAGTCCATGTGTACCAATGGACTACTTAATTTAACATTGCATCAATCAAGAGAAAGAAAGGCATAAAAACTTGTGTAAGTAATAATACTTATAGCTCTCCTGACTGTTTTAGGCCTTCTAAAACGTCTACAAGTTACAAGGGGAATATCAGAGTTTGGTCTGCTGTCTTAAGAATCTGAGAACCCTAGAGAAGAGCTCCACATCCCCATCAGAAATGAGCTCCGACAAGTTCACAACTCATCAGCAAACCAACCGGCCTGTTAGTGACACATGGTGTTGACTCACAGAATACCATGATTTCCATGTTAAGGGTCTCTGGGAAAATTGTTCATGATCTAATAACGATGTCTGGGAGAGTTCAAAGGGCAACTAATGGACTTCTGATTGGTTTCTATTTGACTCATAATCAAAAAGGCAGAGAGGGGGCAAGGAGAGGGGCATTTAGTCTGATTTAAGCTTTAGTAGGGCCATCAGCTTGACGTAATATAGTCATCAGATATACTGAAAGTCTTAGTTGTAATCTGTAATGTGGGACAAAATAACTTGGACTCGCCTTGCTAAAATAGCCCATGGTTTGAAATAGCCAACCAAACGAACATCCAACTTCACACCTCGGCAAAGTGTAAGAGATGCTATACTTGTACAACATAAAGATTGACTACTTTTGTACAACATAAAGATTGAATACTTTCTTACTTCTCGTGAGCGGATAGACGAGTTCGTCTTGACCTTCTGGGAATGGATGGACGAGTTGAGGTGTGACCTCTTCTTGCTCGACGACCTTCCTTCTAACGTTGTTGGTTCTACCGAGACACCGTCCGTCTCATCTCGCTGCTCCCGCATCCTCTGTGAACCGTTTGAGTGAATCTCGTTGCCTCCATCGATTCCTCTTCCTGCAAAGTGCAAAAAAAAATCAAGAGGATTTAATGCAATATGTGGTTGGATATAAATGTGCAAATCAATGGTTTGGCCATTTTGAGAACAAGTGGTTTAAGTGTCACTGAGCACTTAATTGGGCCTTAAGGAGTTAAGTCTATGTTTCACTAGCCAGTGAGTTCAATGGGGTTTTGGGTGGAAATAAATCTTTGTGTTTCCTGGAGGGCCCACATTTTTCTGAACATTTTGATATCAAATACTTATTTTGGCAAAATATGGAGTTACGTCATTGTGTCACTGAACCCTCAATGTACATAACCACCAGGAACCTGTTTCATAAAACTTGTTATCAATACCAAATGCTAAGAATTCTATGACCAATTAGCTCTCAGCTAATTAAATGCCACAATTTCAGTAGCTTATAGCATTATCAAACTTGTTATTGATAAGTATAATGAAATGGGGCCCAGAATACAATGTATGAAAATATAGAATATCAGTTTATTATTAGGCCAACTGGTTTAATGACAAATAAATAGAAAGAATACAATGTACATAAAGCATGTTTGTTGCACAGGAGGTTTTTTGGAATTGTGTTATGCAAATGGTGAGGTTTGTTGAGGAATATGATTCATTATGCATTTTACTTCCAGGGCTCTTTTAAAGCTTCAGAGGTAAAAATGTAAACCATTGCACTCTAAACTTTTGACCCCAGTTCTTTTAGAATTCAGTATTTTCAATCAGTACCCCGCAAATGAAAGATGTCAACAAATTATATTGGTAAATCCTCATTGAACCTTTTAAAGGGAATATGAATGTTTTATTGAGACCCTTTACAGATGCTTCTATAAATTGGGGGAACACATTCTTGTAAAACATCATAATATCAATCACATGCCAAATCAAATTCTACTTTATGTTTTATAATTCAAATAAAATTGTATCTTCATCAATAAAGCTTGATTTCCATGGACATATAGTTAAAACAACACAGCAAACCACTCACGATCAAACCAAAGACCCATAAGTACAATGTAAGAATGTGTGTGCATAACTCAACTTTTTTTTTAATGCCGGCAATGTGAACACTCTTCATGACTCACTTTTTAAAGTAAAGGGAGTGAACTCTTTGCCCCGTTGCTTTTTTAATGTTTAGAGTACCATAGCCAGAAAGAAAAACAAACCATTAAAGACCTAAACTCCCACATACAATCCAAACAAAAGAAACTTATTGGGGCGTGGAAATGAAAAATACATCTCTTTTGTCCCTCAAAAGTGATATCATTAAGCGCTGGAGTCAACTTTGAAAGAAGAAAAAAGTATATATGTGCTAATTAGTGGACCTTGAAATGAGCTGCTCCATTTGTGAGTAGTGAGAAAATAAGCTGAAGCTGAAAACTTTGCAGATTCCAAAACCAGAGAGGAAAGAAGAATAGCTTTGGTCTCTACCTTCTCTCATCATAATCAAATCTTTTTTAGTATGTGAAATGTTAATGAGCCAAAAACTTCACCTATTATTGGTAAAATCTATTAATTCCAAAGTTGTTGTTTTTGTGTGCAAACTTTTTTCACATACCTGGATTGAAAACAAAATATCTATAATCAGAGTATCCTGGAGAAGTAAAAATTTGTCGGACAAAAGTATGACAAAAGTTAATATTTCTACATTCTCAGCAAATATACATGAAAATATCAATTTAAGTTCATAATATCTACAAGCGCAAATGTGCTATATAAATTGATCTCGTTATTATCATATGAGCAACATTTATTCTCGTCATTATTGTAATTACATGCATATGAAATAAATACACATGTTTCAAAAGTTTCATAAATTTTAGAAAGTTACTCATACGTATTTGTATCTTTATTTTTGTAAATTGTCTCATTATCCAGAAATAAAACTCACTAAAATCTAACTCGCCTTACATGATGCAAAGTATGTCATGAATAGTATTGTGATTAATCTAGTTTATCTCATATTACAGTTGTTAAGTTTCCAAAACTACTAAACAAACATATTTGCCAATTGTCAAAGGAAACATTCAACAATAAATATGCCTGTTTGTTAATCTGTTTGTTTATATTTCCATCACAACAAATGCATAGTACAATTTCAGATAAATTAAGGATTAAATCTACGGCAGATGGTCCATATTCAAGCTGTATTTTAAATATTCAATTTTGTGATCACAATTGATATTTTACTTTTCTTTTTTCTTCTTCTTTAAACAAACAAAATTGAAAAAGTTCATAAGAATTCAGAGCATGTTAAGTTCTACTTGGCCACTACATAAAGGTACACTTCACCATATTGTTATTAGCACTCCTGGTCACTGGATTCCAAGCTCGCACACAAGTGTGCACCGTCTCCACTAACTTGTGAGCATTATGAGTTTTGTTTTAAATCTTCATGGATATCTATATTATAATAATTAGTATATTATTTATGTAATACTATTATTACTTCTTCTACTATCAATACTACTACCATACTACTACTACTACTATTCAAAATATTATGAACATTATCATCATTAATATATATAAATTACTACTTCTAATACTTCTACTACTTTTAATACTTCTACTACTTCTACTACTTCTACTATTTATACTACTTCTACTACTTCTACTACTTCTACTACTCCACTACTTCTACTTCTTCTACTACTTCTACTACTCCACTACTTCTACTACTTCTAGTACTCCTCCTATTTCTAATACTATCATCATTATCATAAAAAATGAATCTCGCAATCCTACCTTCTCTTGTATCTAAGATTTCATCTCCAACCTTGTCGCTCTCTCCGTCAGCTTGACCGTCCGCTGCAGCCTGGGCATGTTGAAGACTCAGCTTATGACAGACCTCAAAAGCTTGACCGATACTCCGGACAATCCGCATTGCATGGCTCTGGAGGGATGATAGGAGGAGGGAGAGAATAGTGAAAAATGTGCATGAAGAAACAATGTTTAAATTTGTCCATACAGGAGATTTCTATGACAATAATGGTGATGATGGTGATGATGGTGGTGGTGGTGGTAGTGGTTTTGGTGGTGGTGATGGTAATTATAATGATAATGATGACACTGACAATGATAACAGGGAGGATATGGAGGAGGAAGATGATAATCACTGGATAATGGGATTCATAGTGGGAAAAATTACTTTTTCCATATACATTTTTTTTTTAAAGAAAAAAACACAAAAAATGGCATATATGTCTCGGTCTCAAATTGGACACGTCCAGTATTCCATGCACCATCACGTATCACCTTCCCCTAATAGACAACGGAACTCTCTTGGATGTTTTCTATCCAGTTAATTTGAGGATGTGTGAGAGGCCACCACACATCGTTGAAAAGGTCATGCTCCTCCAATTATTAGACAAATTAATCAAGAATAAGACTTCAACGTAAAGGAAATTACTGCTAATAGATGGGGCTGTGAAAGCCTACTGTCCTGAAATAGCTTGTCTCTTTATGAATTAAGGCATGACCCCAAAAAGCTGAACTCGTCTTCTGGGCCGGCATTACTCAAGAAATAGAATGGTCCTAATATTCACCATAATAATGATAACAACTGAGTTCTTACATAGTACACATGTCTTGGACTTAACTATGGCAGGCCATTCATGCCACTGTTTCCTCTTGCCATTTACTGGCATTGGTCTCTCAAGAGACGTACAAATCATGGTCACAAATTCTCCAGAATATACATTTTTTGATAATTCATTATTGAAGGAAAAAATACTTATCTATAGATCATAATGGTGAGAGCAAAAAGTGGCATGAGCGTATAGTTAAGTCCAACTTAAAGTCAATCTTAGTCTTTGTGAAACACCCCCCAGGAGTGTCTTACATGACAGACATGCGTGCTATGGTACTCCAATGTCATTACCAAAGCTTTAGTCTAACTGCTATTATCAAGTACTCAAGCATTTCAAGGAAGTTGTTTCTGCCAGGTACCCATTTACTTCACCTGGGTCAAAAGTGGCCAATGTAGATAAATGCATTGCCCGAGTACCTTGGTGTTGAATGAAGATTTGAACCTTCAACTTCCTGACTGAGAGCCAAGAGAATGAACCACCATACCATGACAATCTCATACTGTCTCTCATTCAGAGCAAGAAGGGCCATAAGTCTTTATTTTAATACATTAGTCAATGTCCTTCTTGTTCCCAAAAAACGATACCCCCTGAAAGACACTATGAACATGACAGACAAAGAAAGCGGACAAAATATACAGTTCCTCAGGCAGACAAAGGAACATCCCTTCACTGCTATTATGTAAAAAGGTGAATATGCATGTGACACCTGTTCTACACATTTTTACATAATAGCAGTGAAGGGATGTTCCTTTGTCTACCTGAGGAACTGTATATTTTGTCCGCTTTCTTTGTCAGTCATGTTCATAGTGAGAGGACATCAGCTGATATATCTTATCTGTCGTGATATACCATTTTAGAATGTAAAATCTTCAGGAGTGAACCATTTGTCAAGAAACCTTGGCTCCTCCTCCTAAGAATCTATAGGGCTATCATTTCTGCCAGTTACCCACTAACTTCACCTGGGTTAAGAGTGGTAAATGTACATTAATGCCTATCCAGAGGACATTGGTTGCAGACTAGACTAGGCTCTGCACCCTAAACCCCTTGATTGAGAGCCAAGAGAACGGACCACTATACCATGACATGCTCATACCGTCTCTCATTCACAGCCAGAAGGGCCATAAGTCTGTATCTTAATACATTAGGTTAATGCCCTTCTGGCTCCAAACAGACAGTATCAGCTGACACATCTTATCTGTCATGGTGCACCATACCTTATCTTGAAATGTCTTAAAGCCTATCTGCACTAATTTGGCCAGGAGTGATTAGACCTCCCTGCATGGTAACTGACAGGTGGTTATCTCATCAAATCAGCTATCAATTAACATAAGAAAAAGGGGATCATGGGGGACCAACAGGTACTGCTTAGGCATTGTTTGCTGTATAGAGGGCACAAGTAGCTACAAGTAGTGCAGTGGGGCTTTAAGACATAATCTCCAAGAATGAATCAATATACCTTGACCCTTGTCCTATGGATGACGATGACTAGAGCTTTGATCCCTTAGCTCAGGGATTAAGAGAGATTATCAACAACTTTAAAATGGTTCTGGACTAGATCTGGTCTGATATTATTCATGGTTAAGCATTGTCCTTACTGTGCATAAAGTACTAGTCCAGAGTATGGCCAGTTCTACTATTTCGCAATTGCTACCCTAGCTACCTGCTGCAAGCCATAAGATTGCCTGAGCTACGTATACGTACGCCAAGTTTCCTGGGCATACAAATATGTTGGTGGAGATTCTTAAGATTAAAAGGCCAGATGCTTGACTACTGAAGGGGATTGGACCAGAGAATTGTGACTGACCAAAATAGCAAAGTATTGCATCAAGCATATTTAGATAAACAGAGTTGTGTGTTTCTTCTTTTTTCTTCCAATTAATGGATGGTTTTATGAATCATGAAGTTTGATCATCTATGAACAATGGGTGGTAATTAAATGACTTTTTTATCTTATGGATTGAATATGGACCTAGTTTGTTCAAAATCTACAGTATACAGCTAATCCCAACTAAGCCATAAAAACAATCCACTAGTTTAAAGTTTTTTTTTTTCTGTACTTTATAATCTATGAATTTAATGAAAGCAGTAATGAAACGTGATACCATTAATTTTAGCAGAAAAGATTGTAATTTGACCTAATCTCCTTCCTATAGCCCTTAAAGCTTTTTTTTTTTAAGCGCACAGATTAAACATGGATGTTGTTATAGATCTATTAATCCCTAATCAGTACTATATATGAAAAGGTCCTTTGCTATCTATTAACCTATCTACATGTAGCTGGATATAGAAAAGGCAATATAATAAGAGTATATAGCCTTAGAGTACAGGGTTGGATCCAGAAGTTTCTAAAAAATGGGGAGGGGGGGGGGGTCTCAATTTAGAAAATACTCAGTAAAGTAAATACAAGTTAAACAACAATAACAACAAGATATATTTTCCCTAGTATCTTTCTTCTTCTTAAAGTGGGCACATATTTGGTGTTGTGTCCTTAATGTATGCTACTTATGGGGTGGGGAGGTGGGGGGGGGGGGGTCATGGACTGGTTGTGCCCCCTTAATCCTCCAGTAGGAAAACATGATATCATCACTGCATTTGATCAGATACTTGACGGACCTCAACAAAATGATTTCCCTCTATTATCGCTACTTCCACTAAGTACCCCTTTATCACATACCCCTGCTTAAAGGTTTTCAACGCCACAAATCGGTCAGATTAGTCAGATCTTGATCGCCACGAGGTATACTAGCGCAAGCCCAAAGAAAGACAGAAAGTAGGACAGGAAATAGTCATTATGTTTTTCTGGGTGACTGTTATGATTGCACGATAATTTTCTACTGCAGTAATATCTTAGGGGCTCTGGGATATTGTGAATCGGGGAGGCGAACATTTGTGAATGAACCTACCCTTCCAGTGTGCAAAATATGTGCGATTATCATTAAGATATAGTAATTGCAGTTTGTACGGCTTCTTGTAGCACCCTGACAATGCAGTGTTTTTATATTACGGTAATCTGTTTCTTAAAGGAACCGGGTGATCCCTACAAGCCTATGATTTTTTTGATTTTATTTTATTTCTGCATTTTTCCAAATATAATATAACTGAATAATGAGGACAGATGAACGTGAGGTATAATACAACATACCGTATTTGCCGGCGTAAAGGCCGCAGTATTTTTAAAAGAGAAAATATCAAAAAGTCGGGGTGCGGCCTTTACGGCGAAAAGGTAAAAAAAAAAAAAAAACGTAAGTCAAAACCAGCACAAATTTGCACATATGGGACTACGAACGGTACAATAACTATACCACTATGGTACAGGACATTTCCACACATCTTACTGACAATTTTATCTTGCATTGTTGACATGAAGACAAAATAACTTCCTAAAACAATATTTGCCAATATATCTTGATCTAAGTTCATGCCAATGCATTGCAAAAAAAAAGGAAGGGACCGTTTAACGGAGCTGCCGCGAAGCATCCATCCGAAGTCGCCATTTTGTTTTCCATTTCCTGCAATTTCGCATTACACCGTATACATTGTGGTAGGGGTATATCGGACACCAAATCTGCCTGCGATCACTTTTTTAGCTTAACTTCCGGTAGATTATAAGAATATTGATGAATTTGGTATCAGTTTGTAAAAAAAAAATTGTGTTTTACAAGAAAATTATGATTATTTTGTTTTGTCCGTTTGTTTGTTTTTCCTTTTTTTTCCCCCCTCTTTGAAATGTCAAAGTTGGGGTGCGGCCTATGCGGTTCTGCGGCCTTATCACAGGCAAATACGGTATACAAACAATAATTTCTTAATGTCAAAATATTTTTTTTACATAATATATGGACTTATATTAATGAAACTTAATATTTCCATAACATATTATCATAAATTAAAAATATTATCCAAACTATCTGTTAAGAAAATGTACGAGACCGCAATCATAAGCAATGCTCGACAAGGATGACGGCCTCAAAAATAAAATTTGATGATTTGGTAGTTAACTGGTTAAAATAAAATAAAATAAAATTGTGACATTTCAAAAGCTGCCAGTTTGAGATACAAAGGAATATTCCAGAGATCTCCAATTAATATGCACTACTTATGTCAGAGTATATTTAGGAGTCATATGATAGGTTAACTATTACTTAATTTTTTGAATGAATAATGGAGACGGGGGGGGGGGGGGGGGGGTAATTAAAAGACTCAATATGGATGTGAACAGTGAGTCTTTTATTTTTCCTGTTAACCTTTGAAGATTCATATTGCCATTATTTCTAACATGTATATTGCAAGTACATGTACAAGGAGC